AAACTATTTGTGTATCTTAAAAAATTTGAGAGATTATTATCATAATAAAATAACTTCAATGACCATCAACATATTATTCAAAATTTCAATGATCATCGACATAATTAACCCAAAGTAAATTTTCACGCATAATTAAAATAAATAACTTACTTTTTCAACATTAATTAAGCCTCCCTTTATCAAATCTATAATTATTAATTTATGATTGAGATTAATATTTAATTTAATTTATAAATAATTTATAAATGTATACCCCAGGCTAATATAAAAATTGTATTTGAAACGTAAATTTGTTAAGTCCCATTTGTTTCCTATTCTTTGGCTAAAAAAAATGAAAAATATAACCGTTATTTATCACATCAAGGCATCATATTTGATTTCCTCTCTTTTGTATGGATCTCGTAATGATTATATTTTTCATTTTGATTCTTATGAGAATGAGAATCAAACGAGGGCTTATTTTACTCAATTTCGCGAAGATGCAAACTGCATAGGCTTAAGTGTAATACTCCATAAAAATGAAGGGCAACACTGGAAAAAGAAAAAAGGTTCGAAGGGTTTTATAAGCTCACTCCCCCAAAATTTAGGGTTTTTAAGCTGTGTCTCTCTCTTCATAAAATCAAACCGTTCATCAAGTGTCGTCCCCAAAATGGTACTTCACCTTTCAATATTTTTATATGTGTTTCTCATTTATATGCCGATCTGTGGTTAAGTTATATACGACAAAGAATTGCAATTCTTCTGCGCTGTTTCTTATATAATTTTTTTATTACATCCAGGATTGCTCTCTCGAAGATTTCTATTCGTCTGTTTGGATTTTTTGTGGGTGATTTGAGGCTATAGTATCTTTTATGTGCTTGTTAATACAAGGATTGAAAATCTGTGCTCATTATCAGTGAATTGTTAATTCATTTATGTTTTTCATAACTGGATGTGCTGAGATTTGCAATCTATAATCTAGAGATTAATAGGGCCACAATGGAAAATGTTTAATTTCAAGAATTTTATATCATGTAGAAGCATAAACTTTTGATTTTTGTTATCATAAGAATATGATTGATAAATTTTAGCTGTAGCTTACATTAAGGGGCAAATGTTGTTAATTTTCTGGTTTAATCATTTTTACAACAAAACTTTTGTTATGTGTACTGTGCTTTAAGATACTTTCATTTCATTCGTTTTCACTTCTCATCCCTTTGTTCTAGTTCCGAACCAAAGCATATCATTTCTAACCTTAATGCAAAATCTGGATGGTTAACTGTAATATTTCTCAGAATAGTCTGCTTACTTTTAATTGTTTTTATTTGGTATTACAACTCACATCCCTAGCCATGGAAGAGGAGTTTCTGCTCTGAATTCAATTTGAATTATTTAATATCTGAAACACCACTTTTTTTTTTTCTTTTTTTTTCTTTCTTTTTTTTTTTTAATTAAAGAATCTCGTATAATGGGTGCTATTCGGTAGAAGCCTATTTTTATGGGATTCCAAATATAATAAAAATTTTATTGCCAATGTTCTCTGTATTCATTTATCTTTTTCATAGTAGTAATCCTAAAGGGTAGCTCACTGATCAGTCCTTGTGTTTGTTCCCCAATGGTCATCAGTTCGAGTCTCTCAGGGCCACTAAAGTGAGTATTCGGCTGTAAATTCTAGGGCCCCGTGGAATTAGTCGAAGTGCGCGTAAGTTGGCCTAGACACCGATGGTCATAAAAAAAATTTATCTTTGTCATAGTGGTGGCTGCTGTCTCTGCTCTGTTGCAGTAAATTGAGGATAAAATTTAGTGATAACTGCCCTATAAGTTAATCCTTACACATTTTTTGTTCTGTCTTTGTGCTCTTAGCCGAAGCAGATTCATGAGATCAAGGACTTCCTTCTTACAGCTAGAAGGAAGGATGCACGTTCTGTGAAGATCAAGAAGAGCAAAGATGTGGTGAAGTTCAAAGTTCGTTGCTCAAAGTACCTCTACACCCTCTCTGTCTTTGATCTTGAGAAGGCTGACAAATTGAAGCAATCCCTTCCTCCAGGTTCTTACTTTTGAACTAAACATGTTCTACTTGGATGCTAAGTTAATGATATTGTAGTACTTTCAATGGTAAACAATAGCTGTACTTGTGCATCCCTTTCATGATTCAAACAGTACACCTTGTGGCTCTCAATGGCTCAAATGTGTGTGACAGTGTGAGGCTGCTCTTTGGTTCCAACATTAGGCTGTTCATCTTTAGTTAGAATTATCGGTAGAGGGATTAGTTTGAAATTTGATTTCCTTGAATAACTCAGATTGTCAAGACATTTGACTGCTGAAAAAGGGCTGATCAAGGCAAACGATAACCCTTTGATACCGCATGTATTGATTTATACTAGAAAAAGGGAGAGTACGAGTAGATAGATTATTTACTTCTTAATAGATGCCACTTATGGATAACTTTTGTCATTTATGTGAATTGTGAATTAACTTTGAAATTGGCTATCATGTAAAGGATTTGGGTTGTTGACTGTAATAATTCCTTGTAAACAATTTCATTTGCAGGTTTGAGTGTGGAATACCTGTGAGCTGGAGTGTGCCCTCGTCTGAGAATAGCGTCGGAGATAATATATTTGGCGATATTTTATTTTTTTTTAAATTAGTTGAACTTGAAAGACTTTGTTATGAATGGATTTTAGTTAAATTATTTTCAATTGATAGGAGTTGGAATGATGCATGCTTTTGGTACTTCTTATTGTACGTTGTTTAGCTAATTTTCTTTATGCTTGTTCTCTATATAGAATCACTCGTTTGGATTCTTTGGGCGTGTGACTAGTTGATTAGTACTGGTATATGAATCTCTGTCATATTCACCAATTCTTGTTACTACAATCAGAAATAAATGAAAATAACTAAATGCTAAAAAATTTTGACCCTTATAAAGCGCATTCTTAACTAACAATGGACCTTATGCAATCTAGATTGAGTTTAGCTTCGCTTAAAAGACTAGTGGCTCATTTGGCATAACCTTTGAAAAGTCAAAAGAATCTTTTAAGATTCAAAAGTTGCGTTTGGACCCATTTGGTTAATTTTTACGGAAGTGCTTCTGATGGTTAGAATAGCTTTTAGAAAAAAAAATTAAAAAAATTGGTTCAATGTAGTTTTATCTAAAAGCACTTACGAAGTGGAAAGTGATTATAGGAAATAGTTTTCAAACAAAAATTAAGATAGTTTTTCTAATAACTCTTTTATAATGAGTAAAAACAAAAGTAAAAATCATGTCAAACAGCTCCTAAAAATAATAGCTTCTTCTTTCTTTCTATTTTACGTAGCATACATGCTGCGTTCTAGAAATAAAAAATGTATTCTTATCTTGATGAAAGCCAATGGCAATTGAAGAATAAGTGGGAAAAGTTAACAAATTAGTGTCGTGATCAAATTACATTTCAACATATAAAACAAGTGGAATGTGCGCGACTATTTAACAGAACAAGATCACTAATGGTCGAGCTCAGATATAAATGTCAAAAGTAAAAAGATAGAGATCGTTACACAATGAAAGCAAATGATACGACGTATTGTACCGATTACTTTCATGAAACGTGCAATTGGATTCTCGGCCTTCGAATTCTAGGCACGTTATCTGCATGAACATGCCATTTTAAATACCATCCAAAAGGACCTTTGTTACTGCGAATAAGAAATGTTGAGTATGGTTCTATGAAGAAGATTGAAGATCCATATACACTTATTGCAAAGTTTAGAACCTCCATTGCAATTTTTATCTAATTATGTCCCGATTCATGGGTGGTAGCTTCGTGAAGAAATGTTGTGTGGGAAGCGATTATTACCTCCAACCGACCGATTTATGAATTGGTGAACCCACCCACTTATCTCTGTCCTTTCCCCCTACACAATTCTAACTTCATGGGAAGGTTGGCAAATATGTCGAGCCATTCGTTGGTTTGGCTCGACATGTCCAAACTCGACCCACGAATGACTCGAGCTCGTTTTGAGATGAGCAATGTAGCGACCTGAACATCTTTTTTCTTTATGAGCCTGCTCATTTTGAGCTTGTTTTATTAATTTCTTTTAAAAAAAAAAGAGTGGACACATGTATGATTCGGCTCGGCTCGGCTCGGCTCGGCTCATAAGGCCTGCAAGCCGAAGGGCTGAATCGCGCATTGTTTGTGAACACGAATTGAGAACACAAACTCGAGCTCAGGTGTCTAAGAGCCGAGTCAACTCGGCTCAACTCATCCCATTACCACCCCTATTTCGTAGGTACAAATTTAAAACATTTTTGTACACTAAACTTAAATTGTCAATCAATTATCATATTTAGTCTTGTGTACAAAATATACCATTAAAATATCGATTCAGTGTTTTACACGAAATATTTCTATAAAAGTCACGATTCAACAAATTAATGCTCTATGTAAGAGATGATCTGAGTTACTTCAACTAAGATAAATTATATCACGTATTTAGTATATCAAAATGGACAGAGTTTTTGTTTAAAAAAAATGGTACTTGAAATATTTATTCATTGTCGTCTTTAATTATATCCAATTAATTGTATCAAACATGTTCGTAGTAGTAAACAACCGTGACATATGCTAATTAAGTATTGACTAAATAATTAGTAAGATACTAAGTATGTCTTGTCACACTTGGAGACGTATAATTATTTTTAAACATAGGCGTGATTAGTTGTTAATCCAATCAGTGCATGTGCTCAAGTGATCAAGAAGCAAATGCCAGCACATTACTTTTCTTTCTGTCAAAAATTATTGTAAATTATAATATAATATTTCACAAAGTAAATCGCGGGAGCCTTTTTCTTTTCGGAAAAAGAATGAATTGACCAAATTGCCATTCACATCCACTAATTATTCAAATTCACAAAAAAAAAAAACAAAACAAAAGAAGTCGATCAAGAAATCAAATGTGATTTTAACTTAGGATGGGTAAAAGTTATCGTCGTCTTACGATAGTTGTAGCCTAGGCAATGTACTTAGAGAACGTATTTGTCACACGATATAATACTAATTTTTATTATTATTATATATTAATTTTCAGTAAACAATTTTGTCATTTGCCATCCAACACCAAAATTGTTTAAAAACTTTTCTTTTTTTTTTTCTTTTTTTTTTGTTTGGGTTGTGGGGGATATAGCAAACTTTTAGTTGTACATGTCTTTTCGCCATTTATTGTTATTACAAGTTTCACGTAATTAATCAAATTAGTTATATCTTGTCGACTCAACATAGACCATCACAAGTTTCTCAATCGCCCACAAAGTGTATTATAAATAGCATTACGAATTAAACAAGATGCAAATGTATCATTTACTGACGAGTGGTCGCAATGGTAGACACACGAGCTTGGCTTTGTCCAATGGTAGAACCAAGCTCAATTCGACCCTTTGACTCGTGGGCCTTATGTGCGATACGAGCCATCCAGGAGTTGCTCTTCTTCTTCTTCTTCTTCTTTTCAAGAATTAATAATACAAGCTAAAAAAAAGTTAGTCCACTAGTTTAAAATGAGCCTAAGCCGTCCAAGAGCTGAACAAAGATAATTCGAGCCTGCAAGCAACTCTACCAGCTTGATACCCCTACTAAAAATATAAAAGTAGCTACGAAGACGGAAAAGAGCAAAACCCTACATGTGAAAAAAAAATCAAATAATCTTTAATAAAGAATCCTAAATACAAGTTCTTGGGTTAACTAATATTGGCCCTTTTTCCTTCAAAAAGTTAATTGAGTGTGGATTAAGCTAATCCATGTACTTAATCTTCATCCAAATTTGTTAGAATAAATAATTGTTACAACCACTTGCACTACATTTAATCAATCATTTGAATAAGAACTTTGTCCTTTCTTTTATGATATGGGAACAATAAGTGGGACAATTAGGAGGGGCAGATATATCATTAGGTAATGAATCCTCATATATCTTCTCTTCCCTTTTTCTTTTGTTTTCTTACTTTATGCATTTTATTTTTCAAAAAGAATGTGTATTGCCCATGTAAAATTTAAGAACATCTCCGATGAATACTCCACCACATGCATAGACTAAACATTTTTCTTCTCGAATAAGGGTTACTTTGGTTGTCTTCTGCTCAATAGGCAACAGCTGGTTAAATAGTAGGAGCTTTCTTTGAAATCCTATCGAAAATTGTGATTCACATCACCCCCCCCCCCTTTTTTTTCTTTCTAAATAAGGTGGAATAGAACGTCCTGACACTAGCTTTAACATCAAGAGTTGAACAACACGTTTGTCCAATTCGAGTAGTCAAGAATTTATCTATAAAATGGTTGAGTTTAGTATAATTTTATAAAATGCATTTTTGCCAATTTCTACAAGCACCATCATTGGAAATACAAGTTCCTTTCTATCTCATATAGTTGATCACTGAATTTAAGTCTACGTTTGGCTCACATTAAATTAAATTTCATTTTACTCTCTTCTATTTTTAATCACATAATCTTCCATAAAATAATATTACGCATAAATCGAAAATTCTTCATCCTTTTTCAATCACTCATTCTCCAGAAAAAGATATTATTCCACTAATTTTAATTTGAAAAAATGGTGACCAAACGGGGGCTAAAAAAATTTTCCACAATTGTAACAAAATACTCTATTTTTCTTCAAACAAAAAATAAAAATAAAATAAAATAAAAAATTCAATTTGATCATGAAGAGACAAATTGAATACTAAAATGGCTCAAAACTGAATTATAAGTTATTAGTAGTATGTTCATGAAACAATAAGTTGATTAATTAAATAATTGTGTTGAAAAATCAGCTGTATCATAACTGCTACAGATGCTCAAATCTTCAATTTTGACTTTTACTTTTTCAAATATCTCATAGGATACTTTGCCTATCGATTCTTAAAATCTATGAAAGAGATATAAGAACCAAAAAATAGTATGGTATCGAATCTATCGATATATTGTACCATAAAAAATGTATTATTTTAATTTACCATTGTTCAATTGTTTATTTGTTTGTACATCCAATAGATATTGTTATTGTTATTGTTTGACGATCAATGTATATATTTACGATGGTTTGTTGAATCTGTCTGCTACATATTTTAATGAAGACTACTTAACCCAGAGACGGATATGGGGGGGCTGGGCTGTAGCCCCCCAGGTTCAAGATTTTTTTTTTAAGGTATTCTTTATTGTTTTTTTGGATAAAAAATCAGTTTTTTATGCGTAAAATTTTTTTTCTAAGTAGTAGTCCGATTTGAAATTTTGTAGCCCGGTCGTCGATCCAATCCTGGATCCGTCCCTGACTTAACCGTGAATTTACGAAAAAATGTTGCTGCCAAAAAAAAAAATATATATATATATATATATATATATATGGGGCTTGGGAGTAGAGCTATTAGTCTCAAACTTCTAATAATATTGATTGCATCAAGAAAGTATGAAAATTCTTATTGTTGTTTCAAGAATCAAGTGAATAAAAAACTAACAAGTCCCTTTCTCTTTCTATTATTTTTAGTAAAGCGAGATGAGAATAATGAAAGAGAAAATTTATTTATTAACACATCACAATTGTGCTGTGTTCAAATATTTAAGGGAGAATATGAATATGTTTTTATTGTGCTTTATGCACTTTAACTCATCAAAAGTTTCATTAAATGAAATCCTTCGAAGGCAAACTATTATATAGTCGATCTCTAATTCATTGTAAGTTTACATGGTCTTTAAATGAATATAGCTTATTAGCAATGAATACGGTCAAAGAATAAGAAAGAATTATATAGTCGATCTCTAATTCATTGTAAGTTTTACAA